CAAAATATGGTATGTATATCTCACATATCTTAAGTAATGCTTGAAGACTGCGATCTGCCAGATTTATCTATGATATTTCGTAAACAAAAATGAGATTTGTAAGCATCGTACAGAGGTCGGTAATATACTACAAATGCTGGGAAACCATCAAAATGATATGTGGTTAAATAGTAAAACCTCTAATGTTTTCGGAAGTCTTTCTATACTATACTTTGATATTAACCATGAGCTGGGTGTATAACGGCAGACTTTAAATAACTTATTTGAGGCTTCAACTTGTTTAGACGAAGTCTAATATATTCGAGTTCACTGAGTTTTGCTGTCGGTTGATCTTCCCAATATTTTGGAAAGAATAAATTGCAAACGCTATAGCAATGCTGTTAGATGTGATTGTGATTCCATATAAAAAACTTTTTTCTCATTCAAATATTACATCTCAATTTATTCAACAACAATTTTCCAATTTTTCGAAAATACTTATGCGACTGGAGCAAAGCCATACGGTTATTGCCCATATCGAATTCGTGTAGTACATGCAATAAAGATATCACCCAAGATCCAGAAGTCAGTGACCCATGTAGCTAATGGCAGGTGAGCATTGTCCTCAGATTCGATAACGTATGCGAAGCTGGAACGGTGAAGGTCGTACCGCCAATGACCAATTCCAAATCGGGAAGGAAGTGGACGGCTGAACAATCAATTAAACCATCACCATCGGATCTACGATGTCATGTATACGACATAACCGTAGTATGGAGCAACAATAGAGAGGTGCCAGTATCGGCGATGGCTTGGCAACACCGTCCACAAGACAAGACCACCAATGCTACCGCCATCCATTGCGAATTGCCAGTAACCTTGTTCAGAGATGGGACATAGGTGAGACTCCTTAGTAGGCTGAATCAGAACCACCCAAAATCATTTCACCACCTTGAGGACGAGGATCCAGCACGTGCCAATAGAAGGAGAACAATCTCGCTTATCAAACCCTGAGACCACATGTTGTAGAAGGTGGCACTACGTTGTCATTAAAATTTGTTGGAAACCGATACCCATTAAGCCATCGAAATTTGAGTAAACGAAGTGGTACCAGGTTCTAACATAGCTTCAGCGAAAACTTGATTGCTAATGGTTAGTCCAGCTACACTGACGGTATCCTGTGACAAGAAACCAGACAAACTACCGAACCGTATTGGATGGGAAGTATTCACCATTGGCTACATAAGTGCTGGAAGCGCTGGAGTTATATCTGTTGTGGATCTGGCGCCACATTGCTGTAAGGGCAGGATGCTGATGGACCACAAATTTGAGGACCAGAATCGAAGAGTCAAGAATTCCTGGTGGTGTACCAATGGTGATCTTGCCGTAGTTCCATGTTCAACTCGTTATCCATTGCTCTAGTGGCACGGAACCGGCAACATTGTATTTACCGCGCAAGTAAGCCGTTCGGTTTTTACGGATTGGGGTGTCTTACGGTAGTTGGAGTTCTTGTTAAATGGGCACGCGACCATGTTGGCCGAGCCAAGGCGGCGCAAATGGTGAGAATACGAGAACTTGAACATTTTGCTGTTAAGAAGAAAAGTTAAAAATAAATGTTAGAATATCAAACTGTTGGAGTATGTAATAGAAATAATGCAACCGTTAGAGCCTTCTTACCGTTAGCTTTTTTGTTATGGCGTATACCACCACTGATGATATAAAACTGTGTCATAAGTTTTGCACGCTCGCCTCTTATATATGTCATACCTGTGTCATATCTTTTTTGATAATCACTCGAAGCTAATTAGACAAGTGCTCTAAATTTTTAGATCCGGTGTCTCAAGTTTATTCAAGTGTTTAATAATATACATTGAGCTTGTGCTCGAGCACTTTGTTTATTCAGAAGGAATAGGATACTCAGGGGTCAGTAGCTTTTGGTCGTTTATATTATATTTATTTTGAAACCTCAATCGGCTCCCGCGAAGCCGAGTTAGATAAGGATTTAGAAAGACTAGTTTTGGACAATGAGGATAAAATATATGGAGATTGATGATATAACAGAATGTGTGCCAAAGGTTTGCAGTATGGGTAAGTGTTCCAGAAAGTACGCTATTATAATCTGTTAGCCTCCCGTGAAAAGCTTAACAATATCTGTACCGACTCTTTTATGAAAATACTACAGATTCAGATTGTTTTAACGTATAAAAATTATCCACTCGCTTCGTGCATATTTTTCGAACTTTGTATCTTGTGAATGAACTTTTGACGAGGTCAAACCGGTATATAAATATATTAATTATACAAAAAACAAAACGCAACAATTTAAAAAAATGGCAAAATAATTCTCAATGTACCCTCCTTTTAACCTGATACATTTGACCCAGGAATGTTTGCAATGATTTGTCTAACTGAACTTCATACAATTAGTTGATTTCATCTATTGGTACAGATTACTTGTTACTGTAGATGAAGAAAAAATATTTAGTCTATTATCTCCGATAAAAATTCCAGCGTTGCGTGGAGTAAAAACGTTTGCGAAAATTCGAATCTGTTTAATAGAAAAAAATGTTCAGACAATTGACCTGGGAGAACCTATATCTCCAATCAGATCTAGTTTTCAATGCCTCTCTCCGTAACACTACTTGGTATTTTGTGAGGCTTTCAAGTTTTCGCAATAAAAACTTAAAGATCTTCATCAAACAAAGACAAATACAGAGTTTTTCAGCCTGTAATTCTACAAGTTGAAATTCAACTGTATTCGGCATCCGAATTCAGCACTTCCTTATTTATTTTTAATATTATTTTTAATCTTTCATACTTTGATACTATTAACCATGAGCTGGGTGTATAACGGCAGACTTTAAAATAACTTATTTGAGGCTTCAACTTGTTTAGACGAAGTCATAATATATTCGAGTTCACTGAGTTTTGCTGTCGGTGTTGATCTTCCCAATATTTTTGGAAAGAATAAATTGCAAACGCTATAGCAATGCTGTTAGATGTGATTGTGATTCCATATAAAAACAACTTTTTTCTCATTCAAATATTACATCTCAATTTATTCAACGAACAATTTTCCAATTTTTCGAAAATACTTATGCGACTGGAGCAAAGCCAATACGGTTATTGCCCATATCGAATTCGGTGTAGTACATGCCAATAAAGATATCACCCAAGATCCAGAAGTCAGTACCCATGTAGCTAATGGCAGGTGAGCATTGTCCCTCAGATTCGATAACGTATTGCGAAGCTGGAACGGTGAAGGTCGTACCGCCAATGACCAATTCCAAATCGGGAAGGAAGCTGACGGCTGAACAATCAATTAAACCATCACCATCGGGATCTACGATGCTCATGTATACGACATAACCGTAGTATGGAGCAACAATGAGAGAGGTGCCAGTATCGGCGATGGCTTGGCAACCACCGTCGCACAAGACAAGACCACCAATGCTACCGCCATCCATTGCGAATTGCCAGTAACCTTGTTCAGAGATGGGCACATAGGTGAGACTACCTTGGTAGAGGCTGGAATCAGAACCACCCAAAATCATTTCACCACCTTGAGAGATATCATTCTACATACACTGCCAACTCATGCTGAGTTTGGTTTTACTGACCTGCGAATATTTACTACTTTTCTATTTTGGCTGTTCCAGCAACAAACATTATAAACAACAACATTGAGTATTATCTCACAAACTACTTAAGATAACGAACATTAAAATAAATACACATAAATTCGCAAAGTGCTTA